AGAAGTAGTAGTAGTAGTAGAAGAAGAAGTAGTAGTAGTAGTAGTAGTAGTAGTGGTCGTCATACTGGTAGTAGTGTAGGAGGAGGAGGAGGAAGAGGACGAGGAGGAGGAATTCATGGCAAGAGGGGTGGAGGGGAATTCAAGCATAAGGACAAGGCAAGAGCATTTCGCGACTGGACACGAATGCTCATCCTAGATCCTGCCCAAGCAACGCGCTCGCAGGAGTCAGCCGAAGAAAACCACTCGGGCGCCCGAAGTGGGAGAGCTGGTCAAGGCCGCCGGAATCTGTGCAGGAAGCGTGCCCTGATGCTCGGGGCTCGGGCAGGAACGGAAGCCTCTGCGAGCCATGAGCCTCAAGACGAGAGCTGGGCTGGTGAGCTCGAAGAGTGCAGCCAAAAAGACAAGTGCTGTTGCAAAGGTGTTTGGGACTCTTCCCTGGGATCGTTTTGCAATGCTTCGCAGAGCTTATGCACCACAATGTCACCAGAGCCGACCCGTCCCAAAGCTCCAAGGACAGCCCAAGAGGAGGAAGATGCCTTCCGGGACATCCTCGAGTGGGAGGCCAACGTAAAGGAGCCTCTGGGGCGTTTGTGCGTAGATGAGGCCCAAAACGAACCCCGCAAGCTTGAACACCCGCGGCTTCAAAGGCTATTCTAGGGGCGCATTGCTTGAGATTCTCCCAGACTTGCCATCTGCAAGAGCTTTAGTGACCTGCATCGCAGTCGTGTCAGGAGCTTAGGAAAACCAGTGTTTGTGTGATTTCGCTGCATCTGGAACCGTGCCTGGACAGCCTGCATGCATTGGTTGCTACCTTGCTTGTCGCTGCATCCAGGGCTTCTCTTTCCCAGTACGTTTCGGATAATTACTGCATCTAGATGTCTGAAGCATGATGTTCTGTAGGTTCAATGCAGTCAACATATATGATTGGTTGATCATGCCGTAGGGGCCGCTCTTGCACTGGTCTCGCCGTTGTGTAGTGGACTTTATATTGAGCCTGCTTTTGTTTCGCCTTGGACTTCGAGAGTCAGCAGAGCGAGAGATTTTATCTGCTGAACGATGCCAACTGCCACAGCGGATCGAAAGCATTGCGTTGGTGGGGAGGGGCCCCCCAGCCATGAGCAGCAATGCGACATGGCATCCTGGTTGCAACAGGGAGTCTTTTGAGGTGTTGTAGGTTTGTGGAACTGAAGACTGTCGGCATCAACTTGAGAGAGGACTTGGGGCGGTGTTGCCTGCTAAGCCAATACTATCTTCGTGGTAAGCGACGACCCACACCCTTCATCGAGCTTGACGATTTATGGAAGCCTGGCATCTGAGCTGTAATCTTCATGCCGACACAAGGGACCGTACGAGGACTCCGCTGCAGGGTTCCAAAGAAGACCGTCAAAGCCATCTGAAAGGTTCATGGATGCCGCTGCTCAGGGTGGCGGCACGCCGGCTGGTACTGCCAAGGTAGCCGGGAGTGCAGCGTTTCTTGCCTTGGTTCACAGAAGCCTCCTGAAATACGCAGCCATGTTCTCACAGGTGATCACCAACGGCTTGATGGCCACCGGGCTCAGTGTCTCAGGAATGTGGACAGTGACCTGAAGGTGTGATGACAGCGGGGCGTACCTCCAGTAGGACATTGATGTGCAACTTACATAGATCTTGTTACGACAAGGCGAGGGGGAGCTTGTATGCATGAGTCTGCATGCATGTACATACGTGTGAATTGAAGCATGTGCGCATACAGGAAGATGAGGAGATAGACTCGTGAAGTGGGTGTGACCAAGAATACACAGACGAGGATGACCACGAGCATACATGTGTCGTGTGCGCATACATGTACACATTTGTGAGCATGATTTGCATTTAAGTCGTAGCTTTGGCTGTGGTAGATTCACCTACCTGTCGATCCAAAGCCCACCCCTTGACTACAACCAGAAGCATACATCCAAATATTGGCCTTAAACTAGACAGAAAAATACTCGTTTCAATATACACAAACCAATCGAAAAGAGCCTATGCATACAGGATGCAGGGCCTGAGCTTCCCCCTCCACCCCATGATTCACCCCATGGTATCACCCCCCCGCCTGCTTGGGTTGCCGGTCTTTCGGCTTCTTCGTCTCCCCTAGGGTAGGCAGGAACCCTCCAAGCCTAAGTTGCTTAAGTCTGTGCTGTGTTTGCTCAGAAACTGTAATCCTGGCCGACAGGTCGCATGTGCATGTTGTAATTGATCACATTGGGTTGGCTGCCGAGCAGCTAGCAAACCTACATAAGTAGTATGCTTGCAGCCATTTGTCTGTAGTATTGTCATCCTGATTGCGATTGAAAGTACGCTAAAGGTAGGGTTTTCTATTTTTCGGTTGCCGATTGCCCCTGTCGCTGTGCTGTGGTATAGGCGGATCATTGCATTGACACGCGTCGCCTCCTCGCCCCCTGTGGTTTGGGTGGTGGGTTCTGTTGCGGTTCGAACCATGTCTGCAACCTCCCCTTACAAAAACTAGCACACTCATGCATATCACGACTACATGCCTGCTACTGTGGCTATGTTTGAGATGCGAAGTTGCAGCGCGCGTCGAACACTTGCGAGAATCAGGGAGATGTAGCATTAAAAGGTCCAATCCTTTACATCGCGGTGACGATCCTCCGAAAACGACGACTGTCACGAGGATTATGCCCCCAACGGGCTCGATCCCTGTGAGCAGCCGGCAAAATACCATGGGTGGGTGGTGGGGCCAGATCCAAAATTGACAACAGATGAACGGATCTGGCGCCACATTTCGCGGGGTGGAAGGAGGCCTGGTTGAGCCAAGGCCCAGCCTGAAGATGTGCGCCCTCCTTGGACGAAGGGCCGCTCCGAAGCCGCCGGGGTCCCGGCGAGCTTTGGGTCACAAGACTTTGCGGCTTCTCGCAGAGCTTCAAGGTGTAGGATAGTCTCCTACGTTTGAACTTGATACCGTTTCTGCTGAGGGCGTTCCCTTAAGGCTGTGTCGGTAAAGTTGCGGTTTGTACTGATACATCGTAGCTCAGCGACTGATGGATGGCTTGCGTCGTGTTTGCAGGAGATCAGCGAAATCGTTACGCAGTCGATCTGTGACTCGATTGCAGTACTCACATGCGCTTCTGTCCCAATGAGGATTCCCAATTACTAGCAGCACCAGTAGTTGCAGTAGCAGTAGCCGTCGAAGTAGTCGTAGCATTCGTAGTAGTAGTAGTAGTCGTCGTCGTGGTGGTGGTGGTGGTGGCGGCGGCGGTGGTGGTGGTGGTACTAGTAGTCGTAGTAGTAG